GAAATTTATTTAAATAAAATTTAGGGATGTTTTACCCATTGTTCTAACATAAAAATTTAAGGGATAATTAATGTTTACAATTGTCGGCAAATTCATATGTAGATTGCAATTTTGAATTGTGAATTTTTTATTCCCCGTCTCATTATGAAAGAAAGATATTTTACTGTTTGAAAAATTAATATTGCGAAAATATTCAAAGAAGCAAATATTAAATAATCATTGTTAGAATGCATATTTACTTGAAAAATTTGAAAATCTAATTACATTATTATTATTACTACTACTGCAACTACAGAGTATATTATATTATATAGAATATAATATAATCTAGCATCTACAATTTTGTTGATGGTGGTAGACGTAAGATTATTTTTTTGATAAATTTTTGGCATATAAATTTTAAAAAAGCTAATTTACTTGCATTCTTACACTTTGTTTAATTTTAAAAGTATTGAACTTCAGACATTTTATTTTCTAATAACTGTTTATTTTTCTAGTTTCAGTTACATTATGACTTCTGTGTTAAATATTTTGTTATTATAAAAGTAAAATTAAATCATTTTTACCATTTTTATCATGAAATGAGAATAATTTATAACTTCATTATCAAATAATTATTATCTGTATTTTTAACATAAAATATCATAAAGGATAATGCCAAAATTTTAAACGTATTGGTTAAACTATAAGGTACTTTAGTAATTTTGTCTGTAAGGAATACACCTCACTCAATGATTAGGTTTTCAATTTGGAGTTCTTTGCAACTTCTATCACTTCCCAATAATTTCATATTCTGAACTTCAGTTTCATTAGAGAAAAGGATTTTGGATCACAGTCTCCACAGAAGAAGTTTGTCTTATTTGCCACTGCATCTTGAAAATATAGCATATTTTTATAGCTGACATAGAAAGAAATAAATACAGTAGAGTCTCAAAAACTCAGCACTTGATAACCCAGCACTCCGTATAACTCGGCCACACCCTGGCAGGGCAAAAAAATCCTTAGTTAATTAATTTTCATTATAGACAGCTTTATGCCTCATAAAGTATTTTTCTGAGATCTGTCTTATCAGGTAAATTACTGTACAGTGTATTCATTAATTTTCATTTTCATGTAGTAAAGGCTCTATGCCTTTATAAAGGATGCACTTTTCCTTTGTTTAAGGATATTTGGGCAGTTTATACTTTGTTGTATTCTCAAGCAAACAATACATACAANTCGACTGTATCTTAAATTGGGTAATGAGATTTCTCAACTTTAGTTGACTAAATTATATCATTTATCATTTTTATAAGTTTTCCTCTGTCTGGTATTTAATCATTTTCTTTTGTGGGTTTGAAATAACAACAGAATCGAAAGCCTTCCCAATATCTAAAAATAAAGCAAACAGCTTATGACACTACTAAGTTGTAATTGAATAATTGCAAGTTAAGACAAATAAGCAAGTTAAGACAAATAAGGTTGACTGAGTGCCCCCATTTTTAACAAATGCAAATTAGATATAATTTCTATAGTTATTCTGTTCAACCCAATCATTAAACTCTGTTAATAAAACTGAAGTAACTTACGAAGACCCGAAAGAAGCGTTACGGGTCTACAATTTAAAAAAGAGGAAAGGAAACTTCCACCAAACAACGCGTAAACAGCATTCCAAAAGACTGGAACAACCTTGTTCCAGTCTTTTGGAATCTTACTCGTTATATAACACAATGTGTTCTTGTTCTAAATATAACCTATCTTCTTCCTTCGTTTTGACCATCCGAATCTCTGAAAAACCAATAATAAAATGGTTCCTTATGTATTTTTTAAGAGTTCCCCTGTAAAGTTTTCCTGTAATCCCCGAATGTTCCAACATCCAATAGTCATTTTAGTTTTATCATTCCACTTATTTGTCTTGCAGGGGAAATTGTTCCTTAGGTTATTAGTATTATTCTGATTATCTGCATTTTTAAGTTCTAACATACCTTTTATTTTTCCGTAACTCTTAGATATAATTTCCATTTCTCTACCCTCCGTAACAGTCTTGTTAATTCTCCACGGAAAAACTTATTTTTCTCCTTCAATGACTTAACTTCTGTCTTTATTTCTTGTAATTCCGCATTCGGTTGTAAATAATTCTCCCGAATTAAGTCATGTGTGGATTTCAACGTGTACTGAACTAGACGTGTACCTCTACGTCTCGTTCGGTGTCCTTTAACCTTTCAAAATATTCGTGTATTTTTGATTTCTCAGACCCTCGTGACTACTTTATAATATTCTTTTTCCACTCGGTGAAATTCTTTACTCATTAAAACATAAATCAAACGTTATATACAAGACTTAAGACGTAAAATAATTGAGAATATCCCACCGCTAAAGGCATAGACGAATACAAGATTCCATTAATTCCTTTTATATGGCACTTCACCATTTCATCCATCCAACAAAAATATCTTTCCCAATTTGAAAACTGCGAGGAAATGGGCAAAGAGTTACGCAATACGTCGTCACAAACAGAATTCTTTTCAAAAGTATTACTACCAGTTTCATTTTAAAAGCAAATTTACGATTAGGGTGGGGTATGGCAAAAACAAATAAATGAAGTATGTGACGTCAAATTATGTCATTTCGACAAATAGGAGTGCGCCTATTGTCTGCCTATTAACAGTATTAAACGAAAGAATAAGACTATTAAAGTTTCCCACATAAGAACAGAGAAGAAAGTCTCGGATTATAAATACAATTTATCACCATCAAGCGTTTCAAATTATTTTCAATGAAGAAATTCGAACAATGCAAATGTAGCTTTTCAGAATTTTCAGAAAAATTAGTCAAGTTTGGTTCGAATTGTTTCCAAATTAAAATATTAATTTTATATAAAAGTTCATTTGTAATTTTCGAATACTCCATCATTCAAAGCGTAAATTTATTATAGAAATCGCAAACCGAGTGTGACGACAACAAAGGACGCAATTCTTATAACAACAATTGTCTTTGTCATTCTCGATAAAGCAACAATGGACATTTCGCAGATTTTATCAAAAATGGAAGAAGCAAAAGTTAAGAAGAGAAAGAAAGAGTCGGGAGATTGTGTAAAGGCGAAGAGATTAAAAGCGGAAGAGGGAGAAGTTATGGAAGAAATTGAAAAGAAATTATCCCGCTTGTTTCTGGAGGACGGCCTCGACTCTTACCGCCAAACCAAGGAAGAAGACGAGACCACTTCCGCTTATAGTTACGTCAACAAAACACTGGCAGAATGTCACTGGATGAGACGGCGGCGTTTACCCGAACGTGGCGAAAGGAAACACTAAAATCTTTCCCCGGGCTCTGAATTTCTTCCAAACAATCGTTTATTTCCGGCTTCCACGTACTGTACATAAGCAAAATTTCTATAAATAAAATTCTTTTTCTTTTAGCGCCGGTCTTAAAATCCTACAATTATTTCTTCGAAACATTAGAGCGTCTTCCAGCAATATTAATGAAGGAATTTTAGGGCCCAAAGTAGAACTGCGAGTCTTTTATGTGTCCATGTTTATTTTTCCTATTTATTATCGTGGCGACGTTGCTTCTTACAAAATTCCATGTAGTTGTAGTCTGTGTAATGTGTAACACTTTATTCACGTGTTGAGTCTTCCTGTCAAATCTACTTCCGGTATGCTCGTGCCACAACTTTCAAAAGTTTCCTTTACTCGCGTGTTTTTGCTGAACTTTACCAGGTTTCACCAGTTTCTTTAATGGCATTTCGAGTATTTTTCGGTCATCGATAACTTCGTAATAGAATAGTTGTCGCCATAGTTCTATATTCGCCTGCTAGTCGCGTGACGGTTTGCGGTACGTCGTGTCACGTGATAACCGGTTGACTAATAATACGCCGAAATTGAAAAGTAACGGCAAATCTTAAGGTCACGTGATAATTATCTGAGATCGTAGGATAATTTATTACTTTCCCGGCTGTTATATATAATAGAGAGGAAAGTGTGGCGATTGGTCAAAAAATGACCCCTAAGAGTTTTGCATTTTTGGACTTATGACACCTTGAAACGTCGAGAAATAAAAGAAAAAATCGGGAGTAATTTCTGTATGTATGGATGTTAGTTAGTGTGTGTGTGTGTGTGTGTGTTGGCATGTATTTCGCTTAATATCTCGGGATAGAATAGAAATTAAGTAACAAAATTTGGCACGGTGTCTTGTATACGAGGGACATCGATGCTACTAAATTTTGGTGGCGAAACGTCGAGAGAGTGGGGAGATAGAGTGGGTCATATATCTCCAGAGGTAGGACTAAAGATTTTATTCGTTATTAACATTTACCTTCTGTTATAAAACTCACCCCTAGCCTCAAAATTCAGCTTTTTGCCATTTTATAGTAATTAAAAATATAAAAGGTTTTTATAACAAAATCTGATAATAGATGGCGCCACACACAATTTTATTTTATTTTTTCTTAATTAAAGGCCTTATTGGGCAATGCGCGGAATGTTAAATCGAGTAAACCTATTGCAACTATGGTCAAGGAAGCGTGTAAAGCCTTCAGTCAAAACATGTGCCTATATCGATAAACGAACACGTGATCGAAAAAGCTGAACAATTTCACAAAAACTCCAGTAACGAGTTGCTTAACTTTCCCGGAAATATTTAAAATTGCGTGTATGGCGCCATCTATTATGATATTTTATTGTAAAATCGTTTTATATTTTTAATTATTATAAATTAGCAAAAAGCTTAAATTTTGAGGATAGGGATAGGATTTTTAAACGATAATAACGAGTAAAATCTTTATTAAATCCATCCCGCTCTATATACGAGTGTATATATATATCGGTAATATATATTAATTACACGCATTATATATAACAGACGGGAAAGTATACTTGAAAGGAAAAAAAAAATAGTAAGGTTGCAATATCGGCGATGGAGAGGAAAAAAGAACTTATGACGTCATACAAATACTATACACGTGCAGGCCACTTTTAATAAATATTTATCGGAAATGCCTACAGCGCCAATTAGAGTAGCGGCCGTCGAGCGAACTTCTGTGGTAATAACTTTTCGCGGAAAAACTCGACCTGGCTGGAGGCCGAATCAACAATAAGTTCTGTTACTCGACACATGTTATCGTTTACTGATTTTCTGCAGGAAAAATAGAAATTCGAAAGAATAATCGCGTTATGGCGGCGGCAGCTGCTCTTCGAGCCGCCAAAGATGCCGTCAGAAGCGAACTGAAGAAGAAATTGTCCAGTCTGAGCCTAGAAGAGAGAACCAAACAGTCGAAAATCGTTGCGGAACAGGTAAATTAATCGGTTTTCTATGTTTAGATATTATGTAAAACAAGTCATACGACATTTTTTTCTCTATAACGGTTCTGTACCGTTATAGAGAAGGAAATGTAATCACGTGTAATTAACACATTTGCATTGTGTTAATTACACGTGATGTCTGCCCCAATACTGATATAATTAAATGGTAAATTTTTTGTTAGAAGTGACTATTAGGTCGTTTATATATATATGAACGTAGTCACTGATTCCTAAAGTCACTTCTGCTAATTTTTTATATAAGAGATTTACCAGACAACTATTATTCTTTTGATTCTGTGATGTAACACAAAAAATATGAAGGTCATGAAAGGACAAGAAAATTAGTCTGGTTAGTGTCTTACTAAATGCGTGATTAATTACTGTTTAATTTTCCTACGAAAGAAGTCTCGCCTCTCGACGGTTCTAATGGATCGTGCGTTATCGACGGGCGATGCCCCCCGTCTTTCTCCGGACGCTCCGGGGACCGTCGGCAGAAAGTGGAATCCCAAATTGTTTTTGTGATCGTGTTCCGAAAGACGATACGAATAAAACTGAGATTTTTAAACGAATGACGTAATACGGAGCTTTCGATTACCTCGACTAATTATCCCTGCGGATGTTGCGTAAGATCGAAGCCGTAGGTTAAATCTGATGTGCAAAAATTTCTGTCGCAACAAAAAGTTTTAACCGATAAATAATAATTTATTTATCTTAGAGTGTAAAGAAGTTGTCGTGCTTTATTTAGGATTTCGAGGCATCGGTTTCTTCCTCTTCTGAAATTTATTTAAATAAAATTTAGGGATGTTTTACCCATTGTTCTAACATAAAAATTTAAGGGATAATTAATGTTTACAATTGTCGGCAAATTCATATGTAGATTGCAATTTTGAATTGTGAATTTTTTATTCCCCGTCTCATTATGAAAGAAAGATATTTTACTGTTTGAAAAATTAATATTGCGAAAATATTCAAAGAAGCAAATATTAAATAATCATTGTTAGAATGCATATTTACTTGAAAAATTTGAAAATCTAATTACATTATTATTATTACTACTACTGCAACTACAGAGTATATTATATTATATAGAATATAATATAATCTAGCATCTACAATTTTGTTGATGGTGGTAGACGTAAGATTATTTTTTTGATAAATTTTTGGCATATAAATTTTAAAAAAGCTAATTTACTTGCATTCTTACACTTTGTTTAATTTTAAAAGTATTGAACTTCAGACATTTTATTTTCTAATAACTGTTTATTTTTCTAGTTTCAGTTACATTATGACTTCTGTGTTAAATATTTTGTTATTATAAAAGTAAAATTAAATCATTTTTACCATTTTTATCATGAAATGAGAATAATTTATAACTTCATTATCAAATAATTATTATCTGTATTTTTAACATAAAATATCATAAAGGATAATGCCAAAATTTTAAACGTATTGGTTAAACTATAAGGTACTTTAGTAATTTTGTCTGTAAGGAATACACCTCACTCAATGATTAGGTTTTCAATTTGGAGTTCTTTGCAACTTCTATCACTTCCCAATAATTTCATATTCTGAACTTCAGTTTCATTAGAGAAAAGGATTTTGGATCACAGTCTCCACAGAAGAAGTTTGTCTTATTTGCCACTGCATCTTGAAAATATAGCATATTTTTATAGCTGACATAGAAAGAAATAAATACAGTAGAGTCTCAAAAACTCAGCACTTGATAACCCAGCACTCCGTATAACTCGGCCACACCCTGGCAGGGCAAAAAAATCCTTAGTTAATTAATTTTCATTATAGACAGCTTTATGCCTCATAAAGTATTTTTCTGAGATCTGTCTTATCAGGTAAATTACTGTACAGTGTATTCATTAATTTTCATTTTCATGTAGTAAAGGCTCTATGCCTTTATAAAGGATGCACTTTTCCTTTGTTTAAGGATATTTGGGCAGTTTATACTTTGTTGTATTCTCAAGCAAACAATACATACAAGTATAGTACAGTATTTTCTGAGGACTCCACACTCATACTTATTTTTTTAACGCCATTCCCGATAACCCAGCATTTTTACAAACTCGGCCACCCTTCGGTCCACATTAGGCCGAGTTTTCGAGGCTCTACTGTAATATAAAGTAACAGCTAGGAATATGAGTATAATAATGTCATTATTGTATAAATTTAATGTTAATTTTAATGAGAAATATTTTTAGTATGTAATAAAAATTGAATAACGAATAAAAACAATCATTTTATCTATGTATACTATTTTATATTATTGCATTTTTTTAAATTTAACCTACTTTGTATATGCTTTACTGAGTGTTAAAAGTTATCAAAAAACTTATTAAAGAAGCTTAAAATTACTTTAAAATGGTAAATTTTTTTATAATTTTCAAGTATAATTTATTATTGCAATAACAAGTCTTGCATGTAGATTATTTTTCATTAAAATTTGTATCTTAATTTGAAAACTTCTGCTATTAATCTGACAAATTAATATTTAAATAATTTTTATAGTTATTGCAGAACGAACGTTTTAAAGGAAGTAACAGAATATCCATTTATCTGAGTACTGAACATGAAGTGCAAACTGAAGGAATTTTAAAGCATTTGTTTGATGTAGGTAAAGAAGTTTTCATTCCAAAATATGAGTAAGTATATTTATTTCATCATACCTTTAATATTTTGAAAAATATACTTGACAAATCACTTAATTTAAAAATTATAAGCCACATACACAAACATAATCATTGTGCGGTATCCAATTATTCAAAGATTATCTATGAGCCTTAATTGTGTTAATTCTTAAATTATATAATTTATTATAGATTTACAATTATTGAATTATTTTATTTAATGTAGAAGATTGATCTAGAGAGAACTCAAATTCGCCTCTGTGTACTGTGCAGATGCATTATAGTTGTGTCTGGATCTTTGATTAATCTTTATTCCAAATGTATATTACTTTGAATTCAGACCTTTAACCTACATAATTATAATGTACCTTTGCATTCAGACATTGATCTACATAATTATATCTGCAAGACGTGCAGAAAATGTGGGTTCAAGCCCTGTTCTATGTTGATTCGAAAAATTTCCAAATTAATTTGTTTAATTGAAAATTATAGTTTAATTTTTATGAGTAGCACAAGCCTGTCATTAAATAAATGCACAGTTATAAGTTGTAAATAATCTGGTTTTTAGATCTTTAATTAAAATTGATATTTTCTACTTCTATCGTTCTACCTTTATAATATATACTTTACAGTGATTGAATAAAAAGTGCAGATCAGTTATAAACAATTTTTTCATTTTTATTAAATTATTCTTATTATAAAAATTTCTATTAAAGTACAGAAAACAAATTCTAATGCTTGTATGTATAATTGATTGTAAGGATTTTTTCTGTTAGAAATTTAACTGTAACACTATAATATAGTGAATAAGTTAGAAGGAGAGGGAAATCAGTTGGGAGACAATTGTGTGTGTCATTGTAAATAAAAACCTTTATACGAACATGAGTATTATTCTTGAAAGTTTTAGAAATACAACTGTTAGAAAATTGCTCCATTACATACAATAATATATGTGTTACATTCATAAATGTTCAAAAATTGAACTGAAAACCTCAATACACTATAATTCATGTCAAAGATCAAGTGTCATTTATGAGTTACTCAGTAATGATCAATGATCATGTAACCATTGACAAAATTTGAGTGCTTTTCAGCATTTCCTGAAAGCTAATATTGGATGTGCTGATACGAATGTAAACCAAAGTCATGTAAAGTTTGATTGAATCTTGGCTATAAATACCTAGGATTGTACTAATTTGTCATGTATTTGTAGTAAAATTGCATTCTATAGGTTTTCTCTTCATTTGCATGTTATTAACCTGCATACTCTGATGTGATACAAGCACTGGGAAGTACACTCTTATTATATTATACTTTCCAGTATTCAATTGGTAAAAGTTTTGATGAACACTCACAGATTGTGAGATCATTGGTAGGAAATTGAAGAGCTTATTTCCAAAGTGACCTGCCTCCAGCAAATACAAATTTCCAAAAACTGCAAATTTTAAATAATTGTTTTAAATGCTAGGTAAAAACTTTATTATTGGTACAGAGCTTTATTTTTATGTTCTAATTATATGTTTGACAGTGAAAAAAATCCTGGGGCAAAAGAAATGATAGTTTTGGTACTTCAGATCATGGACTTACACCACTTTGGAACAAAATTGCAGCATTTAAATGGATAACGTAAGAAAAACAACAAATAGATGGTCAAAAACTTTTAATATATAAAACAAAAGAGAATATATAAGATAAAATACAAAACAAAAATGAAAATCACACGAACATTGTTCATATGACTGAAGATAATAAAAATTGGTGTTTAAAAAAACTATACTACAGTCGACCCCCCTATAATTACGATTCCTATAAAACTACGAAAAAATATACGTATTTTGGAAATGTTGAGTCCGGATTAGTGTAGAATCGATTAATTTTATGGAAGAAAACCTTTCAATCAGCCGTAGTCCGTAAACTTGACACGTGTCGGGCTGTGATTGGAATGACTTGTAAGAAATCGGATTCCTAATAAATTGGAACGTATCTATATCTTATAGGGGGGTCGACTGTACATCGAAAAGTAAGAAAAACGTAATGATTACATAAAATTAATAAAAATCATATTGTAATTGTTCTGTCACAGTACTTATTTAGAATCAATGACTTTCTAAACAAGTAAACACTTTGTAAAATGTCATTGCAGTATGTCCATCACTTATTCCCAGTTTATTTAAAAATTTCTTCACATTACAGTCGACCCCCCTATAATTACGGTCCCTATAATTACGATTCCTATAAAACTACGAAAAAATATACGTATTTTGGAAATGTTGAGTCGGATTAGTGTAGAATCGATTAATTTTATGGAAGAAAACCTTTCAATCAGCCGTAGTCCGTAAACTTGACACGTGTCGGGCTGTGATTGGAACGACTTGTAAGAAATCGGATTCCTAATAAATTGGAACGTATCTATATCTTATAGGGGGGTCGACTGTATATATCTTTTCCAGCTTAAGTTGATTCTCCAATGGTAACAAATCAACTAATAGATATGACCATGTTTTACCTCTTTTTAACATTGTATGTTTGCACATTCCCAATCTATCAGAATAGTGCTGTTTGCAATAAACATATTTAGAATTTATTCTGATTACTTTCATTTCAGATACTTTAAAATCCATTTTTGACTTAATGTATTAATGAATTGCAAGTTTCCAATTACCAAGTTGCCAATCTTTACCTAGAGCATGTATTTGTCCTATACGTTCAAAAATTTTATTGTAGTCTGCCAGTAAAAGAAGCAGTTCAGTTTTTCTTAACATTTTTTCCACCCTTCCAAAGGCCCTATCTAATGGTGAATAATTGTGACCACACACCGTATATGTAATTTCAAAAATTATACTATACATATTTGAAAGTTTACTTAGCATTACTAATAATGTGTAATTTTTGTTTTGTGCACTGTGTCCATCACAAAACAAATTAATTCTCTTGAATTTTGGATTTTTCTTACAAAAATTTCTACAAAATAAAAACGCGACCTCTTTCTATCATATCAAATAAATACTTTCTGAACTTCTTCAGAAAATATGGCCATTATTAAAGAAAAATTAAGAAAACAATCAAAGACAATAGCACTTTCTCTTCAGAAAGCAGTCGTTAGTGTGAAATAATCACATGACCAATATACACTTCATAATTGGTTGTTATGGAAATGTGAAAGTTTGGAAATAAATACAAAATGAAAAACCTCACATTTGAAAAGAAACCCAATTTTTTTATACATTTTTTAACAGAAAAACACTATTTTTGGAAAAAAAAAATATTGTAACACTATAGAGAATCATATTATCAATGCATTTGTGGCATGAACTAAACGTAAAAATGGGGATACGTCACTTTGAAAATAAGCTCTTCAATTGCAGTAATATTCTGTAACAGTGCTTCCAACACAAAAGCCATCACACACCGTATGAGTAATTTGACATATGTAAAGATAGCTGGCATTGTTCACAAAACGTGTATCTTCAAACTCAGTTCTAATTGGATTGTTCAAGAGACCACTGGTGTGTTGGGGAAGGGAAAAGAGAATGGATGTGCATGCTGTTCTAATTCAAGTAAATGGAAAATTAGTACACACCACAGTGTTCCACAAATGAAAGTCTGTTGAACTTGCTTTGACTTACATCCCTGTCAGTATCAACATATCTATACATCAACATTCTAGGAGATGCTGCAATAAAGTTCAAATTCTGTCTGTGGGTAGAAGGTCATCACCGAATAACTCAGAGAAACACTTTATCTTTGGACATTAGTTGTAAAGGTTATTTAGGTTTACATTTCAATTTTTGGATGTTTATTATAAACATAACACATAAACATTATTACTGTGTGTAAGTAAGAAACTGTCAAAGAGTTGTATTTCAAAACTACCAAGAACATTACTCATGTTACAATAAAGGTTTTTGTTTAAAATGACCTGTACTATCATTTTCCAGCTGATTTCTTTCCTCCTAACTCACCTATATGCTAGTGAAGTATACACTTTTTTCCTCTTAATGTAATTACTATCCAATTGTTACAATATTCTAAAATTTGTAACAGAACAAAGTAATTATAGATTTGTCAGCTTTAAAGATTTAAAGCCAATCATTATAACATATATATTCCCATCACAGTACTTTGTTTTGAGTTGCATCTACTTTCTTACTCATGTTTCAGTAGTTAAATGAACAGTTGTTAATAACTAATTAAGACTGCATACCATACACACAAATAATGTGTATTTGAATTAAATACAAACAGAATGTTTTCAGCCTGTTTCAGGGAACTACATCAAGACTCTATCATTACAGAACATTAACAATTCTAATTTTATAACATGTTTTAAAATTATTTTCTTTTTGATGTCAACTTGTTTTTGAATATTTAATACATATCTGTTACATTTTACATATACTCTACAAATTATTAAAAAAATAAAATTATTACGACAAGAAGATACAATTGTGTAGTACAATAACTTATTTATCTATAGTACTTTCTTGATGTAATGTCATTTATTCGCTTTCCTTTAGAGGTTATCAACCAACAATTGCCATGTGGTAGATATTCTTTCATGATCCTTACTATTAATGCAATTTTCATTGATTTCTGCATTGAAAATTTCATTACATATTATTTGCTGGGAGATTGTGTGTATGGTATGTAGTTTTAATTTGTCTATGTTCCAGCTGTTAGACTTTTATGTTAACAACTGAAATAGTAATGATAAATAATCAGTCTCAGTTATAAAAGCATCAACATTTTAACTTTAATAAGTCTACCATATTATTTTTAATATTTTCTAAATTAAATGAAACTTGTAACTTTAACATGCATTTGCATAATTATTAGTAGATTAAAAAAAAATGTATTATTTATGCATGCTTTTAAACTAGAAAACACCATATAAATATCTTTATGGAAGATAAAACAAATTATTAAAAACATAAAACAAAAAACTGCATGTAAAAAGATAATTTTCTGATGCAGATCAATTTTCTTTTAACAGGATGTATCCAGTTTAATGACAT